AAAGTTCCATGTGCACTTGAAGAGAATGTGTATTTTGCTGCTTTGGGATGAAAGGTTCTATGTATGTCAGTTAAGTCCATTTGATCTAATGCGTTGTTCAGTTCCACAATATCCTTGTTGATGGGTAGATCTATCCATTGTTGACAGTGGGGTGTTAAAATCCTCTACTATCAGTGTGATATTGTCTATATCTTTCTTGAAGTCCTCCAAGATTTTCCTTATATAATTGGGTGTTCCTATGTTGGGAGCATATAGGTTTACAATATTTATGTTTTCTTATTGGAGTCTTCCATTGAGTATTATGAAGTGTCCTTCTGGGTCTGTTTTTATGGCCTTTGTTTTGACATCTATTTTATCAGATATAAGCATTGCTACCCTTGCTTTATTTTTCCTGCCCATATACATGATATATTTTTTTTCCATCCCTTTACTTTCAGTTTGTGTAAGTCCTTTGTTCTGAGGTGGGTCTCTTGTAGGCAGCACATGTGTGGGTCATATTTTCTTATTCTTTCAGCTACCCTATGTCTTTTGATTGGAGCATTTAGTCCATTTACATTTATAGTTATTATTGATAGATACCTATTCATTTTTTCTCTTTGTATCTGTGTTCCTCTCTTACTCTTTTTCCTCATCTTCTTAAAGCAGTCCCTTTAGCATATTTTGCAATGCTGGTTTGGTGGAGGTGTATTTTTTTAGCTTTCTTTTGTCTGGGAAACTCCTTATTTTACCTTCTATTTTAATTGAGAGCTTTGCTGGGGAGAGCAGTCTTGGCTGCAGGCCTTTGCTCTTCATTACTTGAAATATTTATTGCCATTCCCTTCTGGCTTGCAGTGTTTCTGTTGAGAAGTCAGCTGCTAGCCATATCGGAGCCCAGCGTTGTATGTGTTCCTCCCTTGCTGCCTTTAGGATTGTTTGTCTTTGATATTTGCCAATTTAATTATGAGATATCTGGAGTGGGTCTCATTGGGTTCCTCTTGAATGAGACCCTCTGTGCTTCCTGGACTTGTGTGACTTTTTCTCTCCTTAAAGTAGGGAAGTTTTCCATCATTACTTTTTCAAACAGGTTCTCTATCCCTTGCTCCTCTTCTTCTTCTGGTATCCCTATTATATGGATATTATTACATTTCACGTTGTCCAGCATTTCCCTAAATTCCTCTTCATTCTTTTTGAGTCTTTTTTCATTTTCTTGCTCTGAGAGCTTTTTTCTACCTTGTCCTCCAGCTCACTCTTTCTCTTTCATCTAGCCTGCTTTTGATTCCTTCTACTGTGTTCTTCAAATCAGAAATTGTATATTTCATTTTATGGGGGATCCAACTGGCAGTTTAAATATCCCGCTGGCGCTGCTTCCCGTGGGCACTCAGCCCGCCTTCTGTAGCCTCTACTGCACTCCTTACCAGTTAGGTTGTGCTAAAGCCGATTCCTCTGTCTGAGGTTATAAGGCTCCTCTCTCACTATTATTCAGTTGTCTGTTCCAGATGATTTCTCCACCATTTAGTTGTAATTCCAGACTGGTCCTGGGAGGAGGTCAGTGTGACTTCCATTCACTCCTCTGCCATCTAGAAGTCCTCAGTAGTTTGTAAAAGGCAAATTAAGTCACTCTTTTACCTGAATCAGTTGGTGGCTCCTTGTTGCCTACGTTCCACATGGTATGCTCGCTCCCTCATTTGATCTTTTCTGGCTCAGCTACATGGCAACAAGATCTTAGTCTTTTGATAGTGGCTCAGATATCTCCTACTGAAGCCTTTGTGACAGTTGAGCACTTCGTTTTGATGTTTCCATATAGATCTGTTATATACCCAGTTATTACATTTTGCAATTATCTGTGTATTTGTCACCTCCACTAGACTTCAATCCTCCATTTTAGAATGGGGACTCTTTTTTTTTTTTTTTTTTTTTTAGAATGGGGACTCTATTCTATTTATTAGGACGGAGTCTCAGTCTTAGATGCTTAGTGAATATGTGTTATGTGTTGAATGAATTAATAATGAATCAATGAGTTAATTAGTCTTATGATGGTTTTGTTTTCTTTTTGTAAGATTACAGGGGATGAATGTGTGCTTTGTTCACTGATGGCTTTTAAACACTCTTCCATCTGACTATTGCTGAGAATCAGCAGTTACCAAAGTCAACAAAATCTTGATTTTTTTTTCATCTGTCTTACTAAAAGAGTTCTAACTTTTACATCCCTTTCTTTCCTGTGCTATACAAATCTTAGCTCTTCTTGTCCTTCTTTCCAATTTCAATCTTGATTATTACTAGGTCTTTGCATTTTAACTTCTCTCCCTGTTCTTCCCAGAAAAACATTTCTATAAACCTCTTTCAAGTTTTCTAGTTTTGAAAGAATATGAGATCATTTGAAAGTAAATATATTGCAGCATTACCTATAAAGGCAAATTTTCTATTGTTTCTGTGTTCTTTTAAAAATATCATTTATTTATAAAACAAATTATGATTATTATAAAGTGATCTTTATTTCTGATCACTATTGTATGTGAAATTGTTTCTACTTGCTAACCTGTTGTATTATGACTCTTATAGCCCACTTACCTACAAAAAATGGCTAACTTTTAAAGAGGTCAAAACAACTAAATTACTAAAGTAAGTATTATAACTCCCTTTAAAATAAAATCTGAGTGATGAACCTTGGGAACATTATGCTAAGTGAAATAAGCCAGTCATTTCACTCATATCTGGAATTTAATGAACAAACTGAACTAACAAGGAAAATGGGGACAGACTCATAGATGGAGAACAAATGACAGCTAGTGGAGGGACTGCGCAAAAAGGAAAAAGGACTCATGGACATGAACAACTGTGTGGTGATTGCTGAGGGGATGGGAGTATAAGGGGAGTAAAAGGTAATATAAAAATAATACAATAATGATTACTTTTTTAAAAATAAAATAAAGCCTGAAAGCAAAAAAAAAAAAAAAAATGATTTGTTGTATATCAGTGCTGTAAAAGGAAAAATGAGTATCGCCCCAGTTCCCAAATCTAAAGTTTCTGTATATTTGGGAAGGTAAACATGGAGAAATTCATAAAAAATGCATTCAACCTCAGCCTTCTGGAAGTTTCTGATTTCTAAATGTATTTTTGTTATAGCATGAGCATTAGTTAATAAGTCTTGGCCAAATGGTACCACCATTTATGTATTCTTTTATTTAGTACATGTCTACTAAGTGCTTATTATGTTTAGGGAAGAGAGTATAGAAGTAGAAGGTTCCAAGTTCCACGGAGGAATTTCACAACTGTACAGATTGCTTTGCAAATGTTAGACACTGAAATATTTATTAAGTGAATAACTGAATGAAGAACTCTAGAAAAATTTGTGAAATCATACTTTCTTATAATTTGTGCTCTTACTAACCAATATAAATCGAGACGTGTTCCTATTTCTATAAAATTCATCAGCTCACGCAGCTCATTATTCACTTAAAGTCTGACAAAGCAGAAACTTCATGAGGGCAGGGATATATGTTGTCACTGTCACATCTTTTGCCATCCAGGATTATGGAAGACTTCTTTTACTGAATTCTTACCATGTGCCCATAGTTGTAAATGCTTTACATGGATTTACACTTCTAAACCTGTTAAGGATGCTAGCAGGAGGTAGTATAATGATTGTCATTTAGAGGAAGAGGACTTTAAGTCCCAGAAAGGCTAGATAATTTGGCAAAGATTATATAGCTAATAAATCACAGAAGCAAGGTTCAAAGCCAGGTAGTACAATGTCAAATCCTAGCTGTACACCTCCACCATGCTGCTTCCTAATAAATGAGTGTCAAATTTAAATACAATGTCAGGATAGGTTAACCTTTAAAACGGAATACCAATGTAGATCTTAAATACCAATGTAGATCTTAAAATAAACAATAAAAATGCTATATTTTAATATTCTTGGTAAGGACAACTTCTATCTACTCGCTCAGCTCATGTTTGGTGGATGCACTTATTTATGTGCTCAGACAAATGTCAGAGAATAGTGCTACAGAAGCCTGTGTTTGCAGTCAGATTTGAATACTAGCTCTGACATATATTTACTGCATTCATGATCTCGAACAATTTAATTTTTCTAAGTCTCAATTTCCTTATCCATAAAATTAGGAATAAAAAGTTGTCACAAATGGCTGTTTTTTTAAAAGAGAATTAACAAGATGATGTATGAAAAGTGCCTGACACAGAAAAGATGTCAATATCTTCCTTCTATTTATCTTTTCCTCTCTTTCTCTCTTTTTAAAATATTTTATTTATTTATTTATTTATAGAGAGGGGAAGGGAGGGAGGGAAAAATAGAGGGAGAGAAACATCAATGTGTGATTGTCTCTTGCGTGACCCTAACTGGGGACCTGGCCTGCAACCCAGGTATGTGCTGTCTGGGAATTGAACCAACAGCTCTTTTGATTTGCAGGTCGGCACTCACTCCACTCAGCCACACCAGCTAGGGCTCCTCTCTCTCTCTCCTTTCTTCTCCTCTCTCCTCCTCTCTTCTCTCTCCTTTCCTTTTCCTCCTTCCCTCCCTTCCTTTTTTCTTTTCTTTCTTTCTTTTTCTTTCTCTCCTCTTCCTTCCTTCCTTCCATCTCTCTTCTTCCTTCCTTTCTTCCTTCTTGTCATAAGCCACATAGTCCTCTAAAAGTTATTCAACTCTTCCAGCATTTCCTTATCTATAAAACAAGTGGGCTAGGTATTTGGTCTCCAAGGCCCTTTGATTCTATAATTCTATAATTCAGTGATACAGTAATTTAGTTTTTCTTTGTACATAAAAATCCAACTTACTGTGTGGGAGTCTTGAAATGAGGCTTCTCTGGTTAATATGCTCAATTAAGTTGCTTTGTTTTTTCCAAAAGGTCGCATCGTATAGAGCTTGGTTTAGAGGTATTTTTATTAAATAGGATAAAAACTTGCTTTATATTTAAGTAGTATTTCAACAATATATATTAACTACATCTACTAGTGATACAGGTGTTCCAAAGGATTTATGTCTCTTCCTTTCTTCTATTTAGGTACTATGCAGGAAACCTGGAGGCTAAGTCAACGAATAGTCAAACTCTAGGTTTAATTCACACAGCAACGAAAGGGCTAATAAGATCTATTGAAGATGGTGGGATAGATTCTGTGATGGAATGGGAAGTAGACGAAGTGCTGAACTGGACAAATACACTGAACTTTGATGAGTAAATACATTTTGCTGTACTTGGGGAGCAAGGGCAGGCATCATATTTTTCTTTCTAATATTTCTCACTCCCATGTTGAACCTAGGAGCCACAAACATAATCTCCACCCCTCCTGCACACACAAAACAAGCATTTATACTTGTCTAGAAGAAATGAGGAAGATATAGAGGGATGACTTAAAAGTAGAAAAAAGAAAATTAGACAGATGTTCTTTATTGTCAGACTTCATACTTATGCCTTAGTCTAAATCTGCTTTATTTTTTACTTTGGGATTTAGAAACAAGGCTGAGAACATGAAATCAATAATACAAAGAATTTTCTTAACTTACAGACCCTGATCTTCCCATATGAGAGATTAAAAAGTTATAAACTTCAGTGGCATACTATAGCCCTTGGAAAAACATTTTAAGGATTTTTTGTGTGTGTGATGGAAATTTTAAAATATTTAATATAACCACCAGAGAAATTCAAGTTAAAACCACAATAAGATCTGACTTCAGACAAAGTAGGATGGCCATAATTAAGAAGAAAAGGAAGGAGAGCAATTGGAACCATTATGTACTATCAGTGGAAATGTACAATGGTGCAGCCACTTTGGAAAATAATCTGGCAGTTTCTCAAATAGTTCAACATGAAGTTTCCATATGATTGAACAATTCCATTCCTCAGTATGTGTGCATGAGAGAAATGAAAACACACATATATGCAAAAACTTGTACATAAATGTTCATATGAGAATTATTCATAATATAACCAAAAGTAGAAACCCAAATATTCATCAACTGATGAATAAAAATGTGATATATTTGTACAATGGAATATTATTCTGCAATAAAAAGAAATGTTGATGCATGTTTCAATACTGACGATTCTGCTAAGCAAAAGAAGCCAATCAAAAAAGACCACATATTGTATGATTCCATTTATATGAAATTTCCAGAATAAGCAAATCTATAGAGACAGAAAGTAGATTAGTGTTTGCCTAGGACTGGGAGACTTATGAGGATTGGGAGGTGAGGCTAAGGGGTACAATTTTTTTTGGAGAAATAAAAATGTTCTAAAATTGATCATGATGATGGATGCACAATTCTGGGACTACACTACGTAATACACTTTAAATGGGTGGATGGTATGGTACGTGAATCATTTCTCAAAGAGCTTTTAAATATGTTCAATATTTACTCAGCCACAAAAATGAATGTGACTATTGTGTGAATGAAAAGGCAGGGAAATTAAAATGAAGATGGTGTAAGTAAAGAAACATAAGAAAAAGGAGGAAATTAGGAAGAGATAAGAATATGGGACAGGAAAAATCAACATGTCATTGAACAATAGAACAGGAAGAAGAGCATCCAAGAGGAATCAGAGACGAGAATAATGAGAAGAGGAAAGTTGAGAAAAGAAAAAGAATGACTAAAAAAAAAAAAAAAGAAAAACAAGAAAACAAAAAGAATAAGAAGGTATTGGTGAGTAAGATATATTAGAAAATAAAAAGGGAAAGACAAGAAGAAATAACTAGTTATGAATCATAGATAGATGCTCTAAAATATTTTGTAGTTAGTAAAAAGAGATTGTTATGACTCATTAACCCAATATCTTGTCCTGACCATAGTATTTGGACTCCCTATAGATAGAACATCTGTGATTTTTTTTTTTTTGGACACTGAACAAATACAGATGGTAATAATGACATCCAAAGAAATTCACTGTAATGCAGTACTTTTTAAAAAATTTTAAGTATATTTATTTTTTTACATTCAATATTTTGCATTGGTTTCAGGTATACAGCTTAGTGGTTAGAAAATTATATACTTTATGCTATGCTGTACTTCTACTTTTTTCTCCAAGAGTAAAAATTGCTGGGTGAAAAAATGGGAGAGGGGGAAGTGAGAGAGAGGTAGGTGAGGTTTATTTTGAATGAGCTTCTGAGAACACACATATATGCAAAAACATATATGCAAAAATTCTGAGAACATGATAGAGAATTTTCTCAGTTATTTGCCTTTCCCTTATACAGTTAGCTAATTCAAGCAAAGGACCAGCACACTTTAGTGAAAGATTAACCAAAAATCAACACCCAACATTCTGTATTTCATCACTATTGGAATGCAAAAAGAATAACACAAATAAGTTCAAAGGGAGGAAATGAACAGACATCTCAGTCCACTCTTGTCCACCATGCCCTTCTCCAGTAGGGGATTAAATTTCTAATGGTCTCTTTGTGGAAAAAAGGATAAAAACAATGAACCAGTAAGACTTGAAGTGTTGTTTTGTATCATATACTCTATGTGGGGTAGGGTGGATAAACCTAGCTTTGACTTGGTAAGATTAACTGACAATTTCCAGTTTTTAAAATGCAGATACCTCGTTTCCAAATTGTGTACAATATCTACCAGTTTATTCTCTTGCTTAGGCCCTGGATAACAAAAATTTCAAATAGAATCCAGCATGATTATTTGGGAATATTTTAGTAGTGTTACTAATCCCAAGCTACTGATTATCTCAGGTAAGACCACACTTTCCAAAGATCTTCCCCAGCTGACTGTAGATGTTAGGTATAAGCAATCACCTTCTTCCCAGTGCATTTGTGGTCTCCATAGCCTTTCCAGTAGATGTTTATAACTGGCTAGCTGCCACTTGTTTGATGAGAATTTCAGAGTCTGATGTTTTTCTTCAGAAGAATTGGTAGCCACTAATTTTTTTGTAGAATATCCTTCAAAACCTGTGGAAAGTTTTCAACAGACCAACAGAATGACATAAATATGTTGAATACTGATACAAACCAGCTTTTTTCCCAACGGTTTTTGTGCTAGTCCCTTGTCATGACAGATGGCTGCTCTCCTGGGAAGAAGCCATGTGCATCCTCTATCAACTGAGTACAATATTATTATAATTTTGAAGAATGGATAGAGCCAACTTCACTCTTGGGCTCAAGGACACTGATGAATACTGTCATAAATTCTGCAGTATCTAGAGATTTGTTGCTGCAGGCACTTAGAACATAAAGCAACCTCCGCATCACCATCATTGAGTCCCGCACAACGCCATGTGATGGCTACTGTGACGGCTACTGTGACTAATCCTGTTGGATTTTTAGGGGCATATTCTCTATCAGATGTTCCTCTTCCAGAATCTTCCTTGTTTCCAAACTGCAAGTGAATTTTGAAGTAACTTGTTAAGTGATCAGCGGCTGGGATATCTTAAATAATTTCCTAATATTCTATTAATTGTGTTGCTGAGACATCTTTGCCTATGTGTGTGGGGGATAGTTTCTACATCTGAAACTATTCCTTTGATTTCTAGGACATGTAGTTATGTGGCTTCTCAGGCTAGGCACTTTCCCAGACAATTAAAATGTTAAATTTGTACCCTGTGAAGGCAGTGCCGTAGCTCTGCCAAGATCATAAACCACGTGCTTTATATTCCTATTAACATGTCAGAGACAGCAGGTCTGGCAATCCGTAACCAAGGAGAGTTTGTCGTTGTTGTTTACCCCTTGTTTCCTCTGAGTTTTCTGCCCATACTTTTAATTTACAAGTTAACTAACATCTTAGTAAGCATTGAACTGAGGACATGATCTGGAAGGAATTGAACAAGATGAGGAGAGGTGTGTTTAGGAAGACCAAAGAGCATTAACACAGTAGATGTGAGCACCATTTTTATATACCCACCAACTCCTTGTCCTAGGGTTTGTTTTAGAGGCATGAGAGCTACCTCAGAGGTGGGAAAGCCATGAAAATTAAACATTTGGACTAGCAAATTTGTTGCCATTAATGTAAGATTTCATAGATAAAGTGGAATTGTAGAAGTAGCCTAATCATGCACTAATGAATCAATTCATTTCTTACTAATAAACCAGTTTAATTTAATTTAATGAGTGTTATATAATGTGCTTAGGTATATTGCCAACTGGAAGGAAATTGCTACAAGCAACTCTTCAGCTAACTTCAAAAGTAGGTGATTTTTAGCAATACTTTATAGAAAATTCTTGTGAATGATACATTCTGCACATGTACACATTTTTTAGCACCTAACATTTCAGTACCCTGCACAGTATACGGACAGATGTTTGCCAAGTCATTCTTACCTTACAGCAGCGATTTCAACTGGTGAGCCACAAGAATTTTTAAACCATGCAATATCTGACTATTCAGTCAGGGGCACTGACCTCTTTTCCCTTAGACTGTCAAATTAAAAAATGGCAACAACCAATACGACAGTTGTCCAGTGTGAATAAATAAAAATTACTTATTTTTTCATTAGATCAGAAAAAAAATATTTTTTAATGTGCCTCAGAATTTTAGTAATTAGTTTGTGTGCCAGGATGAAAAAGTTGGAAATCTCTGCCTTATAGGTAAGACTGTTATTTGGAAAGAGAGGAAAATTTTTCTTTCTATAGGGTTGAATAAAAAAAAAAATCTAATGACTCCTTTTCTTTCAAAGCTGCATATTTCATGGTTTCAGTAATAATTTTTAATGAGCAAACTTTACTTGGTTAAAGAAATGCCTCAAAATGTTAGAAACTATTTTGTAGATTCTGTGCCACTGTTGTCCCTCCTGTGGTCCACAATACTGAGAAGCTGAAAATGATGGCATGTTAAAGCAGCAGGCCATCATACCCCGGAAATATCAATGAACTCTAACATAGCCAGAATCTAATTATGGTGATTGCATAATCTGCGTGTATGAATTCTGTCCCGCTGTCATCATGAGAGACAGTAAAGCAGAGGCTTTGGTTGTGCAGTGTTGCTTTTGACTGCCTGGTTTTGATTTTTGACTGTAGTATTTACCGTGTGACCTTGGGCAAGTTAGTAGTTCAGCTTCCTCCTCTGTGTAGTGAGAATAACAATAGTACCAAGCTCCTAGGCTGTGGTGAAGTACTAGAAGGTAAATGTGTAAAGAGCTTCGGCTAGTACCTGGTACATAATTCACACTCTATAAATGTTAGCCATCATTAGCCATAACCTATCCATTTAGGTCCAGCTCATGGCCACCACAATCCAGGACGCCATCATCGCTCTGCAGGCTTCTGCCACAGCCTCCAGACTGATGGCAGACCAATGATGCTCTTCCAGCCCATTCTCCACCCAACACACAGTGATCTTTTACAAATTTAAATCAATGCAATTAGAACACTTAAACTCTTTAGCAATTACCATGTAGAAGTGCTATCTTAAAGTGCTTTATAAGAAATACTAACTCATTTGAGTCAGGTTCTATTATCTGCACTTAACAGATGAGCAAGCAAAGAGATGGGTTACTTGTTCAAGTTCTCACAGTAAGTTCCTGTGAGGTCCAAGATTTGAATCGAGTCAGGCTAGCTCCGGAACCCATGTGCGTAACGACTGCTGCTGCCGCCGCCTCTCAGTTTCCATTGTGCCTGGAATAAAATCCTCACTTTAGGATGGCTTTCCACCCTTATTATGTCTGTCTCCCCCTCACTCACAACCCCACCATTACTGGACTCTTACCTGTTCCTCAAACACTCTGCATTTTCAACTTGGGGTTTCAGTGGGGCTGATGGTCTTCTGCAGAACAGTTTCAGGTAACTGTCTCCACTTAAGGGCAGGGAATTGTCTGTTCTGTTCACTACTGAATCCCCAATATGTAGCACATAGTGTTTGCAATGACAGATAAAAGAATATAAAGGAATGACAAGTACAAAGATGGAAGCATAGAATATAAAACACTGAGTTAAAAGAGATTACAGGCATACCTTGGAGATATGGCAGATTTAATTCCCAACCACCTCAATAAAGTATTGCAATAAAGTGGGTCATAATCTTTTTGCTGGTGGGTAGTTTTGACTTCCATTTGTAAAAAAGCAACATCTATGAAGCACAGTAAAGTGCAATAAAATGACGGCTGCCTGTACTGCAAAAAGATGGAAAGATATAGCAAGATCATTGGAAAGAGAACAAAAACAAGTATAGTGAGGGTTTGTATAATATCTGAAGTCAGTGGAAGGTGATATATTGAAGGTGCTGGCATTGGAGAAGAGAGAATGTTGTGTCATGTCTTCAAAAAGCACAACTAAATCTAATCGAGACTTGGAAATTTTAGTTCTAAAGAGAACAGGCTTCCATTCATTTGTGAATAAAAGACTGTTAGTTATGGAGCACTAACTGAATGACAGACTAAATACTAAGTCCTTTACATATGCACCATTGCACTTAATTCTTACTAAGGACACTGAGGTTCGGAGGGTAAGTAACTTACCCCAAACTGCGCAGATAATTGGTAAAAGATGAAACCCGAAACCCAAGTCTTGCAGAGCCTCTTGTAGAAATGGACAACAAAAATATGAGAAGTAGAGTGAACTAAGAATTTTGGATATTTATGGCTTCAGTTAAATAGGATATAAAGATAGCTGCTGTAAGAGTGATGAAAAGGAATGTGGAACCTGACATATTGATGGTATCTTATCACATCTGGCATCTTTGTGAACATTTGTCATTCTTCTCTAGGTTTCAGGTTTGAACAAGAACAGAAAAAATATATGTAACTATGCAACAACAGAGGACATGGAAGTATCAGAAAATACTTCATATGAAAATATCTATGAAGAACCAAATGTTACTAGACTCACACCTGATTCCACGTATGGAATATGAATGTAAAGTGCTCTTATTTTTTTAGCTATAGCCCTTCAAACCCTGATTCCATCAGTTATAATCAAGAGATAAGTTTATTCTGACTGGAATGACATATATTCTTGGCATAGAGTCTATTCAATTAAGTAAAAAAGATTAAAGAGAAATAGAACATTGGGCTGAATTCAGTGGTCATAGAAAATATAGTAATTATTCCTGGTATTCTGAGAAATTGTAATATTCTAACAATTACACTTAAATATACTATACTTAGGTGCAAAAAAACTCTTCAGCTTGTTTTTCTTTTATGAATTATCTTTTATTTGGGCATTCATGTCAGGCAGAACTCCTTTTCCATTAAAAAAAGGAAAAGGAGCAAACAAAAAAGCAAATGGGGCAGTATAGCAAATTCCCTATTAGGAAGCAACAGGCTTACTAGAAGCCCCAGCCCTAGTCGCTTAGACATTCTTGAACAAAACTGGGTCACCGGGCAGCCCTTAGCTAAAGAAACTAGTAAAGTGAAAGTCTGTCTTTCAGCTTCCACCGTGGGAGGAATGGGGGACTGGAAACGGCTGTTGTTGGGCCAAGGAACAGAGTCCATCACAGCCTCCAAGTCCAAGCGCCCTCCACTGCTACCCGTCATCACACTTATCACACTGTATCTTTAAAAATCTGTCTGTAATCTGAGTAGACCAGAATCTATTTCTGGATTCTTTATCCTACCCCATTGATGTTTGTGTCTTGTCTTTATGGCAATACCGTCTTCTATTTGTTACTGTTGATTTAGCCCATCTTCCAAACTTGTTTAATTTCAAAATTGTTTTGTCGTATTCTAGTTCCTTTGTATTTCCATACAAACTTTACAATCAGATTATCAAGTTCTTAAAAAAAAAAAAAAAAAGCCTGCTGGAATTTGATTGGATTATATTGATTCTATATATCAATTTAGGGGAGAAGTGCTATCTTAATTTAGTATCTCAGTCCATGAGCATGGTACATCTGTATATTTAGGCCTTTGGTTTCTCAGTAATATTTTTAAGTTTTAGTAAACAGGTATTTCATATATTTTATTAAAATTATGCCCAACTAACCCTTGCTGGTGTTGCTCATTGGGTTGAGCACCAATCTGCAGACTGAAAGGTCACCAGTTTGATTGCTTATCAGGGTACAAAGCTGGGTTGCAGGCCAGGTGCCCAGCTGGGGGCTCGCAAGAGGCAACCGATCAATGTTTCTCTCTCCCTTAGCCCCCCTTGCCCTTTCTAAAAATAAATACAATCTTAAAAAATTTATGCCCAATTATTTTGTTTTTGATGCTATTGTTTTTAAATTTCAATTCCATTCAAAAGAAAATTTTGGACCTTAATTTCCTGACCCAAGCGGTTTTTATTTAGCAATTCATGAATTGAAAAGCATCGAGTGTAGAAAACAAAAAGGAGCTTCCAAGAGTCATAGAAAGTAATAGGGTTTCATAGATAAAAGTGATCAGGAACAAGGAAATTATACTGGGCATGTTAATTAGTTGAAACAGGGTTACTTTCCTTATACTGAGCAAAGGGAAGTGTTGGAGCTGGGTTAGGCAACTTGTACTAAACAGGGGAGTGCTGATTGGTTGACCTAGAACATTTTCTGGGAGAGCTGAGCATAGCTTAGACAAGCTCCAGTTTGCAGACATGGGTTCTTAGCATAAGCAACTCCATCCTGGGCCTAGTCAAGACACTTTAACACTAGTACATAGAAATATTATTGATATTTGGATATTGGCCTTTACCATGTGACCTTGTTAAACTCACTGGTTTTGGACTTAAAAAAAAAATAGAATCTTTAGAATTTTCTATATAGATGATGTCATCTGCAAATGAAGACAATTGTACTTTCTTTACAAACTATCTTTTTCTTTCTCTTTGCTTTATTACATGGCTAAAAACTCAGTACAATATTGACTAGACTTGGTAAGAGTGGAATCTCTCATGGAGAGTGAATATTCAAACACCAGAAAACACTAGGGAACACTTTGGGTGGTAGTTTTAAACCTAATATTAAGATCTACTAGGAAGATTAACAACACACAGAGAATCAGGTTTCAAAAGTATTAATTGAAGAACACATTTTGCTTCTAAAACTCATTTTTTGCATACTACTACTAAGATCTGTATAAAGTATACAATTCTTTTACTTGCATGAATGACTCACCCATACCAATTAGGAGGGCCATCATAAAAACAAAAACAGCTATTGGTGAGGATCTGGAGAAAATGGAATCCTTGCGCATTGGGGGTGGGAATGTGAATGGTGTAGCTGCAATGAAAAACAGTACAGTGGGCCCTCAAAAAATTAAAAATAGAACTACCATATAATCACCAATTACACTCTGGTTTTATACCCCACAGAATTAAAAGAAAGGCCCTGAAGGGATCTTTGTATACCTAAGTTCACAGCAACATTATTCATAATATCCAAAAACGTGAAGCAACTCAAATGTCCATCAGTGTACAAATGGATAAATGAAATGTGGTATATACATAAAATGAAATATTATTTGGCTTTAAAAAGAGAGCTCTGATATACACAGCCTTAACATTATGTTAGTTTAATAATCTAGTCACAAAAAAGATGAATACTGTATGGTTTCATTTATAGGAGGTAGCTAGAGTAATCAAATTCATAGACAGAAAATAGGATGGTGGTTGCTATGGGCTGGGTGTAGGGAAGTAAGGAAAGCTGCAGAATGGGTATAGAATTACAATTCTGCAAACTGAAAAGAGTGCTGGAGATTGATTGAACAAAAATATGAATATACTTAATACTACCAAATTGTGAACTTAAAAATGTTTAAGATGATAAATTTTATATTGTGTATTTTACCGCAATTTTAAAAAATAGTGGTTCACACATTAGTAGCAGACCAGCTATAACAACACATTCGGAACAGAAAAATTGTGCCCATTTCTCTCCTACATGTATCTGTTCCAGTTCGGAAATGCTGATCTTAACCTTCAGCACTGCAAGTCAATGCTCCATGCTCTTGCCATGCCAGTGACACCACCAAATGTCTTCAGACATTGCCAAATATTCTCTGTGGGAGTAAATGGGGAGGAAACACCACTTCTTTTAGTATCATGCACTGTATATTAGTGTAGAAAATATACATTTGTACATATTGCTGTACATTAAAAAAATTATGCATGCTTACTTAATGGGCAAAGGAAGGGATTATTTAGGGAGTAATTTTTATTATATGAGATTTTTACCTTACTCACCAAATTCTGAATCTAATTTTTGTTAAAATTTGACTCTATTGCCTATACTTATGCAAAATTCATTTTTTCAGAAACTAGACATAGAGCCTGAAACTATATAGAGGGCTAATTTACTTTTAATTAGAAAAAATAGTCATGTCTTTAAAAAATATCAGCAAACTGAATCAGCAACTCATTAAAAAGATCATATACCATGATCAGGTGGGATTTACTCCAGGGATGCGAAGTTGGTACAATATTCACAAATCAATATATGTAATACACCACATAAACAAAAATGAAGGATAAAAACCACATGATAATATCAGTAGATGCAGAAAGAACATTTGATAAAATCCAACACCCATTTACAACAAAACCTCTCAGCAAAGTGGGAATAGAGGGAATATACCTCAACATAATAAAGGTCACATGACAACCCCACAGACAACATCATACTCAATGGGCAAAAACTAAAAGTGTTTTCTTCAATATCAAAAACAAGACAAGGATGTCTGCTTTCACCAGTCTTATGCAACATAGTACTGGAAGTTTTAGCCAAAGCAATTAGACAAGAAGAAGAAATAAAAGGCATCCAAACTGGAAAGGAAGAAGTAAAACTATAATTACTTGCAAATGACATGATACTGTATATAGAAAACCTGAAAGACTCCACCAAAAAACTATTAGGACTGATAAATGAACTTAGTAAAGCACCAGGATATAAAATTAATTTTGAGAAATTAGTGGCATTTTTATACTCCAATAATGAACTGTCAGAAAGAGAAACTAAGAAAATAATTCCATTTACAATTGCAACAAAAAAAGAATAAAGTACCTAGGAATAAATCTAACCAGAATGTAAAACTTCTATACTTGGAAAATAATAGGATACTGAAGAAAGAAACTGAGGAAGCATATACCATGTTTACGGATAGTAAGAATCAACATCATTAAAATGTTCACATTACCCAAAGCAATCTACAGACACAACACAATTCCTGGGAAAATACAAATGGCATAGCTCACAGAACTAGAACATTAAAAAAAATTTATATGGAACCACAAAAGACCTCAAATAGCCTCAGCAATCTTGAGAAAGAAGAAATGAAGATATCATGCTACCTGATATTAAACTATACTACAAGGCCATAATAATCAAAACAGCATGGAACTGGAATAAAAACAGGCACACTGATCAATGGAACAGAGAGATCCCCCCAAAGCCCATGCCTTATGGTCAATCAATATTTGACAAAGGAGGCAAGAATATACAACGGGGTAAAGATAGTCTATTTAATAAGTGGTGTTGAGACAACTGGGCAGATACATGAAAAAAAAAAAATGAAACTAGACAACCTTCTTACACCATACACAAGAATAAACTCAAAATGGATTAAAGACTTAGATGTAAGTCATGAAACCATAAAAATCCTAGAAAACATAGGCAGTAAAATCTCAGACATCTCTCATAGCAATATTTTTCCTGATATATTTCCTAGGGTAAGGGAAACAAAGGAAAAAATAAACAAGTGGGACTATATCAAACTAAAAAGCAAAGGAAACAATCAACAAAATGAAAAGGCAACCCATTGAATGGGATAATATATTCACCAATGGTACATCTGAGAAGGGGTAACTATCCTAAATTTATCAGTAACTTGTGCAAGAGAAATAAGGAGAGTTACAACATCTGAAATAAGCTCTTATACCAAGCATCCTAATTAACGAAGTCCTAATCCCAATAATTAAAATGGAAACTACATTTAAAAGCTATGGAAGGAC